CGTTCTAAGCCGCAAGCAAGACATAAATAAACCTCCTTTTTGCTTCTCTGACAAGAACCAAATCATCGCCCGCCTCCCGCCGCTTCTGCGTCACTGCCACCGCTTCTTTGTGTCAACAGCGAGGTTTTTCTCCGCTGCTGCTGTTGCTGTCGTGGACCACGATGCTGCCACGACCTTAGGTGGGTATGCGGCAGATTTCCGACGATTAGCGACGCAGTCACTCGTCGCCAATTAGCACTTTCACTGGCGGTTCGCTTCCTCCAGGCGCCAGCAACCACGAGTCGTTCGACATCCGCTTTTCACCTTGACTTGCAACGTACAAATCGCTCATTTGCACTCGTTTTTGACTGAAGTCCGTTGCACATAGGGTCTTTAACACATCTGACCTTCTTCAGTGTGTCCAGTGGCAGCTGATCTTGTGTGGTATCCAAATCCTTTTGTTGTTACGCCATTCTACGTGTAAATTCTCGTTGAATATCTCTGATTAGGACTTCCAGCGGTCCGGCAGCGGGAATCCACTTTGTTATTTTCTGAATACCTGTGGCTTCGCCGTTGCAAAGGTATGATCTGCAGGCATTGCATTCTACCGTCCAGAAAGGTTATGCCTCCATACCGCTACGGACTGAAGCTGATTCGCAGTTCATTCCTAGCCGATAATACATTGGCATTGGTCCCCTCATTATTCCTAAAACCACCCGTAACAGTAAATCCTCTGCAATGTCTCTTGCAGGTTTAGGTGTAGATCGACTGTGAGGCAAAAGTTTGAGATTGCTGAACTGAACAACGAGTCAGTTTCATCCTAATATGGACTACTTGTTGATGCAGATTAACGTCAGTCCATTTAAAAGTTCCGATTTCATCGGCAGTTAGAATAGAACGAGCACCGGTATTCTAAAGAATGAGTCTTGACCTCATTTGTTTCAGTACTATGACAGTAGAAACAGGTAAGCAGTAAGTCCTGCATGATACGCAGAACATTGCTCCAAATGAATTTCAAGGTTCCTAGATGCATTATGAGTGTAAAGTGACAAGGTTGTGTGAAGAGTAGTGTAGTTCAGACTTGAGGTATGAGATTTGCTAATTGGAGGAAATGAGTACTTTTGCCTGTTTTGAAGTAAGTTTTGCTATCTATAGAAGCCGAGGAATATCACCTGCAAAATCAGTCATCGAATTATAAAATACGACTTGCGCGCTTGTCCTAAAACATTCTCAGCATTTACATAAGTGCGGATATACCGAGACTCCGCCGAGCATACTTATTGAATAGTGCAAATTATAAATGTTTGGAATGAGGGATGTTAGTTACTCTGGTGGTAGAATTTTAGATCACCTGATGCTGTAGAACGGTGAACATATTAAAAAGGATGTTGTAAGAAATGCAGAGTAACACATTCAGAATTATGTTACTCAGTACCCCGTAAAACGGAATATGAGTGCTAACGTTGAGGTTTCATGGCATAGAGTGACGAAGTTCCTGGCCATCAATGTATTGGAGGATGCTTATGTACGTAATTTACTCTACGAACAATTATTCAGAGAAGAAGTAGGGATCAGTACATAGATTAGTCTTTCTCTGTCGACCGTCTGAGCAAAAACTTCCTTAGACTGGTAGGTCAGCTGCTTGTCTTCATTAGTAATTGATTAAAGATATAGTCAGTGTCACAAACCGCTCTGATCCACAGTTCAACTGGGCCTCAATAAGTGATAGCGAAGATATGATCGAATGAAAATGGGAAACTTGAATATTTTACACGCCTGATCGGATACTATGTCATGAAGGTTTGTCTCGAAAAACTTGAGCTCTAAAACAATCACTAACGAAGTCATGATTTTCAGAGTTTACAACGCTAATTGCCCGTTTTGTCGCTCATCGTCGTTTCACGCGATGAGTGCAGCACGTCCACAGAACCGAACGTTCGATACCGAGAAATCCGACCTCCAGCTGGTCACCATCAGCAATTCAGAAATGCACATGAACAATTGAAGAAATTGGACGCTAAGTTAAATAACATTCATTACTCAGAAGAAGCGACAACTATTAAAGAAGTTTTCAAAAGTCGTTGTTTCCTA